AAAGTAATGTCTTGTGTTTTAGCTGATTTTTGATATTAGCAACTAGTTAAATATGAAGGATCTTTTCTCATGCCTAGTTCAAAATCAGTTATTTGTGTACATTATGGAAAGCTTCTGATTGTGGCAGTGTTTGCTGACATAGTTGAGGGCGTCTTCAGTGATATGCGCACCTCCTTCCCAGCTATCAGCATTAGGTTGATGTAAGGGAACTTTTGAATCTCCACAAACCTTCCCTGAAAGTAAATGAAGGAACAGTACTGTAACAATATTTGCAGCAAGGCTTAGACTTTCATGTTCATCCAGTTTTCTGATGAGGGCAAATTCTAGGTTCTAAACCATCAACAGCTGCTGATTCTCTTGCCTCTCTCCCCCTGTGTTTCAGAGTTAGAGCTATTCAAGGTGTTTTCCCGTCCCTTTCACACCAAAGTAGTTTGCAAATGCTCCCATCAAGTTGCTACAATGGAATCAGTGACACAATGCCTGAGAAATTATGAATTTGTACCCAACTGAAATTGAAGTCAAAATGGTACCTACCCGTGTTTTTTTCTCCATTTCCAGCATTAGTTGTTCATGCTGTTCAGCTATGGCCAGAGTTGCTGAATGTACCTTCTGGTAGATGTTCTCTCCTTCCCGTGTCTGAAATGTAAAGAGTCCCTCTCCTGTATCACACATTCTGCAAATGACAAATGCAACAGTTGTCATTGTTTGCATATTTGTACTTTTGGAAAATGCAGGTGCCATTGAACTGAATGAAAGCAAGGGGAAGCATATTCTGTTGATGTAATGATTAACCCTGAATGATGCTGATCTGCAGCTTTTTGACATGTGGCACTCTTAACGCTGTTTCATACTTCACCACTGACAGTGGAAGGCAACATGGAAATATTGATCCAACATTTGCTAGTGTAGGGGATTCTCCTGGCCTGCCCCCTTTGTTACGTTTGTTTCCTCGCTCTTCAGCTCAGGAAACATGCAATACACAAGTTGACAGATTGCAACTTTATAACTGCATGAGGATGTCAACAGGTATCCAGGACCTTGGTTAACACTTGTACCACCAGGCTAACTGCTGAACCCTTAGAGTTAAGGATAGAGAATGAAATAGAGGAATGCTGAAGAAGGAAATGGAGTGAATTAGAGACAAAAGTCGAATACAAAAAGAGAGATGAAGAGAGAGGAAGACAGATTAGATTAAGAGTGGGAAAAAGAAACATAAAAATATAACTTTAAATATAACTTTAAAAAAATCTCTAACAACAATTTATTGCTTGTAGGAATGAAACTCCAGAGTTTCAACTGTTCTGTCTGAACCAGAGTGGCAATGTGACATTGCAGGTGTATAAATCACATCATTAAAAGGGTTGTTATGTGATTAAGTACACAGTTCTAACTTGTTGTGGCGAGTTTAATTTATATTCAGTACTCACATGTAGTAACTAAAGATACCGACAGGGAAGATGGGGTAAGTTCCTGTTTTTGCAGGACTAATTATGGAAAGATTCAAATTGTCTTATGATCTATGGTGATTCACAACTCCACAGAGTATCTCTTCCTTACTCAAGTCAAACTGCCAGACTATTTACACATTAATAATGACATACATATTAAACTTATTGTTGTTTTCCCAGCAAATTAAGGACAATTTTCCTCCGCATGGAACTCTGCAAAACACAATTTATATGGTCTTACAACTTAAACCCTCTAACGAAAAGTATGCCTGTCACTAAAAGACATATTTGTATTTACGTACACCTCCATCGTAAGGGTCCTATGGAAATTCTTGATAAATGCACTTATGAAAACATCATGAAATGCTCTTGAAGGAGAAGCTATGTAGAGCCACCCACTTTTACCATAAAGAGAGGTAGATTATAAAGAGAGGTAGATTACAAACAGCAAAAGCACTTTGCAAGAAACAGCTTGATTTAAAAAAAAATGGAAACCAGGCACCCTTTCCTCCCTTCATTAATGAAATGAAGACCACTGGTTTTTTCCACCTCCATTCTTTTTGTTTTACAATGGCCTCCTTCAATCAGGAAGGCATATGACATCTTCTTCCAATTTATCTGCAGCAGTGCTGTGAGCTCAAGAGCTCAATGGAAATGGGTGCATGAATGTGTTTACAATTGTGCTTTTTTTAATTCATTAATAGGATGTGGGCGTCGCTGGCCAGGCAGCATTTATTGCCCATCCCTAATTGCCCAGAGGGCAGTGAAGAGTCAATCCTATTGCTGTGGTTCTGGAGTCATGTGTAGGCCAGACCAAGTAAGGATAACAGTTTCCTTCCCTAAAAGATATTAGTGAACCAAATGGGCTTTTCCGGACAATCGACAATGCATTCATGGTCATTGTTAGATTCTTAATTCCAGATATTTATTGAATTCAAGTTCCATCTTCTGCTGTGGTAGAATTCAAACCCAGGTCCCCAGAACATTATCTGGGTCTTTGGATTAACAGTCCAGTGATAATACCACTAGGCCATTGCCTCCCCCAGTGGAAGAGTGTTTATTAGGAATGACATATCAGAATGTTCAATGAGATAATGCTGGAAAGCAATTTGTTAAGGAATTAGCTTTGTAGCTATTCATTTGTGGAACCGTATATTGATTTTCATTTTACTAGACTGAATATCATACGTTATAAGGTGTAGGAATTGTGTGCAATTTCTCTGCTCAGTAGCAATTGTATTAAGGGTTCACTGTTTGCTGTCTAAGCTCAATACAGTGTTTTGCTTTCAAAACTTTACCAACCATTTTCAACGTCAGTAAATACTTGAATGCTTGCAGTTCATCTGTGGACAGATCACAATGCACTGACATCATTAACATGCACTCCAATCTCTAACTCCCAACCCCCGACTCCTCCTTGCTCTGCATCCCTTTCCACACCATTGAAATGGATTGAACGAATGAACAGAAAACCAACTTGCACCAATATTCCCATCTGCCGTCCTGGCATGCCCCCTGTTGGAAAACTGTTTGTTAGATGGCAGGAACTACGACACTAAAGGCAACAGCACAAATGTTATTTTCATTATGTGGCTATCACACTCACGTAACCCGTTGATTCAATTTATGTCGCTATACTCCACATTTACAATCAAACTTTGCTAGTTCATGATGACAATGTCCCTTTAGAGGCCAACTTAACAGCTTTGTCATTTAACTGAGTAATAGTAGAGTTCCAGCAGGTTACCTCTGTATATAGAATCAGAGAGATACTGTCCCTATAGTAACAGCTCAGGCCTAAGGTGTTACGAGTGTCAGGTTATATCCATCCCTTGCCTATCAGAATGGCAGATTTGTTTTTAATGTTGCAGCACTGCAAGGAAAGCATTTTAAGATAAAATAATAATTAGCTATTTAGTCGATAAAATATACAGCTGCAGGCAGAATAATCATGTGCCAATGTAGATATTTTATTTTTAGAAAGTAACTTCAAGGAAGTAGTCATCCATGGGTTAATATTATTTCAGCAGTTGCTCATCATAATAATATTATTAATGAGATCGACATTTTTGGTCTCTGTTGACTATTTTAGGTCAGACCATTATAAATGCCTAACAAAGCTGATAAATGACCTAGATATGCAATGTAAGGAATGGGCCAAATTTGTATCTAATAGGCTACCTGAAGTAAAGTCTACAGCAGGTGGATAGAAGTAGGTTTAGACAAATACTCAGGCAGCACTTTGCAAGTTATAGTTAAACAAAATAAAACTAAGCATTCCTTTCTTGCTTGACTGACAAAGTCATGCTCACAAATTTTCTCCTTCTGCTTTTGCGACACCCTTCCTCTGTCAGTAAGGTATTTAATATATTCCCCTAATCATCATGGTGAGAAGTGATATATTGTGACAATAATACAAATAAAGCAAATAATTTTAAATCAAAATACAGGTCTAAATATTCCCATCAGTTCTGACACTGATCAGACTGAAAACCACTTGGCCACCAGGATACATTTAAAAAAGCCAAACCTCTACTCCATGATGCAGAAGAACCTCTCAGGAATCCCCATAGACAACAGTGAAGAGAATCTGCACAAAAGACGCCTTTTTACAGCACTAGCTGCTGTATGTTTAACCGTCCAAGTGTTTTTTGGGTGATGGATGGATGGATGAATGGGTATAGCAATTGGGTGTATAATGTAAAAAGGCAAAGTGGGTGAGGTACCAACAGCGTAGGTTGGGCGGTGGCTGAGGCAAAAGCATGGCAGGTGGGTGAGGTGGTAGGCTGGCAGTACAAGGGGTCTGCTAAGTGCCTGTGTGGGATAGATACTACTCGGGTTATGTTGGGCTGATGGTTGGGTGGTATCTTATGATAAAGACATTTTTTTAACTTAGACTTTTAAAATTAAGTCATATGGATAATGGATTTAGTTCTATGAAGGGAACTTTAAAAAAGTCAGAAAATCATTTGGAATAGTGACCTAAATAAATAATTTCTACGAAAGCATTCAATTAAATCAAGTGCCTAGGTGGTTTCTGTGGTGCTAATTGATGAAATATTTATAATTCTGGGCTTATGATCAGTGTTGCCTTTGATTTTCTTAGTGGCTGCACAGGGGTGTTAGGCCTGTGAGAGACAGTGACGTCGGGATCCAGAGGTCAATGCCAAGATCGGAATGTGCAGCTCAGAGGAAACACTGCTGATCATAGACAGAAAAAAAGACATGTTGGAGCTGCTAGTTTAGTTTTGACTTGAATTCAGAAGAATCAGGAACTCAGTTCAGGAGAACAATTTCCTCCTAGTAAAAGAGTTATAGTTTGCGAAGTTTCCAAGCTGTAAGATTTTGTGTAGAAGTTTTCAAGTTCTCAGAAGTGAAAAGAGATCAGCAGAACTGGAAAGAAGCCCTAAAACTGTCTCAACCGTCCAAGGATGAGTCCAACTCAAGGGAATTCAAGGGAGGAATTGGGCAGTGAGTGTGCCTGAGTGGGGTTAGGGTGGGGAAGTCAGTTCTGTGATAATCCAGGAATTAGACCAGGTTTCTTCCGTCTTACATTACCATCTAGGCAAGTATCATTAAACTGTCCAAACTCGCTGACTCCAACTCAGAGTTGGACATTTTTCCGAGAGGATCCTGGGGAGCAAGAGAATCCTCCATCGGAAGTTTAGACTTCAGAGGGAGATCTCACAGAATCAGTGCAGTAGGCCTTCCACGGAGTCCCAATGCACATCTTAGGTCATCCATCTGGTCTCCAAAATCCCGAGCACCAAAATCTAGACGTAAGTCACGGACAATCTTTAAAATAAAGTTAAATTACAAAATAAAAGAAGAATTACACTATTATGATCATTTCAACATACAAGTAATCACTATATATTGTAAATGTAGGTCTCAACATACAAAAGGGAAATGAAAGGTTTGCTGCATTGTGCATTGGTCTAAGTAACTGAGCATTAGTAATTTAACATCACTTTGTGAACAATAATTTTATTGAGCATTGCTTACTTGCAAGGAAACATTTACTCACTTATCTAATGAAACAGTGGCTGTATGGAAATAAAATTGCCAAACAGACAGAAAGCAGAGTAGTAGCAGAAAACCCCAGTGGGAATACTTTAAAGGACTCCTGATGTAAACACTGTGTCTTTTTATTTTTCCTGTACTTATAGTTATGGACTGAATTGAGAAAATAACTGTTTCAAAACTAGCATAGCTGCATGTCTAG